GATGTTTGAGTTGGGCTTTGAAGGCTAGGTGAGAATTTCTGGAGGCAGAGTTTTCCAGATGGAGGAGCTGGTGTGTGCAAAAGCAGAAAGGCAAGAAGGTGAGAAGAGCGATCCCTCATAAGATGAATGGAGGATGGAGGGAAGAAAGGACGAGGTAGCTTGAGACAAGATCATAAAGGGTCTTGGATCCTGAGGGCAGGGGCGAAGAGTATATCTTCGATCTTATAGGCAGTGGGGAGCCAGTGAAGGTTACTGAGTAGGGGGCTACCAACAGATTTTACCACCATCCTGCTCCCCTAAACTGTTCAAACTAAAAATGGAGCAGAAAACCTCCCCAAAGACCAGATGCAGGAAAGTGGACTCCTCAGGTGTTCTCTGGTGGAGGCCTTGAGAATTGGGAGCAGGGTAGAGGCTGCCACACCACAGGATGAGCTGGGCCCTGAAAGGTAGTGGGGCTCTATATCTGCTCAGCAGTTCTGGCAGAGAGTGAGAAGGGAAGGGATGGGCCAGAGGCCACACTGCTTGTGGAAGATGGGGAACATGAGGGAGGCAGCCCAAGGTCACTCTGCCTGATGGCATCAGAGTCAGACAGAAACGCAGGCTGCTTGGCTCCCAGTCTGACTGTGTGGTCAGAACTCTGTGGCCTCAATGGCCTGCCAGACACAAAAATCTGCAACTGCTCCCACACCCCAGCATCTTCGAAGAGCCCAGAACTCCCAACCAAGAGTTAGCTGGAAGTGAGGATAAATCCATATACCTTTTTCCTGAACAGAGAGGCGGTTTGGTTGGGTGGATTTAGGCAGCCCTGAAAGAGAAAGGCCCAGAGGAGATGGGTTTTTTGCGGGGAGGAACTGCAGTGATTCTGGCCATTATCCATCTGGGAGGTCCCCAAGCTTTAAGCATCTCCTGGCACTCTTCCTTGAGGAAGGGGAGACTGAAGCAGAGGATGAAGACTCAGGGAAGGAGCTTGGAAAGAGAGCCAGATGGTTAATCAGGAAGGGAAAATGCCTACCTAGTGGGAGACCCCGCCCCCTCAAATAGCTTCTTACTGGGCCCTGAGTGTACTGGGCACTGGCTATAGAGAGAGACAGAGAAGAATCAGCCCATGGTTCTGTTGCCACCACTCCAGGACTAACAAGGCACAAGAAGACACTGGCATCTGAGAAGGACACAAGGCAGATTGCTACTACTCTAAGAAAAGCAGTGCCAAGATAGCAAGGTAGCTGAAGTTGGGTCTTAGGAAGCAGGCAGGGTCCTGGCAGGTGAGGGAGGAGAAAGGATCTTCAGTACCAGGTTGAGGGCACAGGAAGGTGGGCAATGAGAACCTAGTAAGAGCTTCTGAACTGCCCAGAGGTGGGGCCATGGCCCAGGGCTTTCGAAAGAGAACTCTGGCAGCAAGATGCAGGAGGAGGGCCAGAGCACACTTAGATCTAGGCCTGAACTCAGCTTCCTCCTGCCAGGTGCCCAAACTCCCTGCTCACCAGGGCTGGGTCACAGTGTAGACCCCCAAGCTCAAGGGAGCAGACACGCAGAGCCCAATACCTCCCCATCTTCAGTCTTGCATATGAAGCTGAGATTTTTGAGTTCCCAGCTGCATTCTCCCCTGGCCTCCCCTCAACCGTTACCAGGCCCACCCTTCTGATCAAGAACTGAGGTTGGCTGGGTCTAGTGAACTGATGGCAAATCAACTCCCGACATGGAAGAAGCCACCCACCGGTAGAGGGAGGTCAACCTGTACCGCCCCTCCCTTAGCCTCAGGACCCTAGATTCCCAGAGTCATTCCTTTCCTTATGCTTTCAACCTTGAGAGTGTGGCCTTGGTCCCGGTGAGGGCCCGCTGGTTAGAGACCTTGGGCGCGCTCACAGCAGTTTAGGAAGGTTCCTAGGGACTGGGCAGATGTGGGCAACAGCGGAACACGACACAATGAAAGTCTTCACCAACGCGGAGGGCCCACTGCCCCCTCCATCTAAAGCCCTCTCCAGCCTGTCTAGGCTCACTCCTCAGCTTAGGGCAATGAAACGCCCCTCCCTCCACCCCACGCCCCGCTGGTTAGAGAAATGGGTCCCAGGCCTGTTGCTTTCATGTTGGGAGGGAGAAGAGGGCCTCTCTTCTCTATTCTTCTTTCTCCCCAGC